GTAGGAAATGTCCTGTAGAGGAGGCAGGTCGTGAGTGGAGCGGGGAAACCGGGCTGGTTGCGCAAGGGCCGTCTGCGCCAGCGCAGCGCTCGCACTGCATCTGCTCCTGCACGCCGCAAAGAGATGGCGGCAACTCTACCGTGGTGAAATATCCCATTATTGTTATTTCCACCATGAAGTATCCGAGTGACAGCCGCTCCTTGGCCGTCGCTATCTTTAGTTTCTAAGATGAATAGTTCTTCTGGAAACAAATGACTGGTGGAGAAAAGTAAACAATATTCGAGTCTAACCACCATCTTAAAATTTTACGTTTTCTGTAATCAGAAGTAAGCATTTTAAAATGGACGTGAAACAGTTGTTAATATTTTTTTCTTAAATTTGAGTCTATCGCGCCAATTGAAATGGATTCTAGAATCAGTTTTGAATATTTTCTTCGTAATTTTTTATTTAAAAATAATCATTTACTTTAACAATTTACAACTGATAATGTTAGTTTATGCTTGTAAAACAAATTAATTAGTTAACATTTTAGTACAGGCCTCAGAAAAGTAATTATTTCAGCAATTATTGAAAAATGTAAAGCAATAATTATCAATGTTACGTAGCGCTAAACCAATACCCCCTACCTCTGTGTAACGCAGCGTAACACTGCCTCAAACCCCCTCCCCCTTCTTTAGCGTCACGTAATTTATGGAATCCATAACCCCTTGAAATTTTTACCTCGTAATAATTTCGATAGCGTTAATTACTTGATTGAATGCAATATGTAGGTGTCCTTAGTCCTTCTGATCAATCTGATCTAAGAAAAACTGGATCCTCACTGAGAGATTCGTTCTTGTTGTAGTACTACGAGAAGATTCTTTGTAATCACAAGCATGGAGATTGCGGAGTCAATATTAGCCGGACACAATACTTTGTGGTGTTGCAACATTATTTGCAAGTTATGCTTCCAAATCAACATTTCTGCTTCCTGTACCTCACGTATATCACACACAACGTACATCTCTTAGCTAAAAATAATCAATGATATTTTTCTGTAAGTTATTAGTAGGGCTACGCATTTGCTTATTATTTTCTGTTAACTAAAACATCCCGTTTCAACAAATTGAATATGTTTTGAAGCAGTTAGAATCAATTTAAGCCATTTTTACTTCGTATATATCACCATAATTGCATATTTGCATTTTTTGTTGCATATTCACCCCTCATTCGCGAAGAGAAGCCCAAAAGTTACAGTTCTCGTCAGCGTGCAAGTAGCTCTGACAGTTCTCTCGCCACTTGCTATGGTACCTCATGTAACCTGCTCTGAAGCAATGGGCTTCCGAACACTTGTTTACGTTGCCTTAGCCATGGATCAGCGTTTGCCGCTCGCCTGTCTGGTACGAAGTCGCTCGAGAAGCACACTAACCTGTTATCGGCAGTATCAGTCGAAATGAAATGTGCATCCGCCGAGCGCCTATGCGTGTCCACACACGCCGCTAACGTGGAATGATGGCTGTGAATTTGTCGTGAATTGAGAGAAAGTTATATTTTTGTTGCAATACCTTATTTTTTTATTTTGTGAAATGTACAATTAACTGCATGTCCCATTATTTTCCTAAGAAATTAGTGTTCTTGAAAATTAAGCCCTTGAATTAATATTTGACGCATGTAACAATTTATGTTTTCTGTATCTCTTTTTGTGGTATTCGTATTTTCCACATTGCACTTTTTATTTATTTTTATACTTCACATTACATTACACTATTTCGTATATTTTTCTTTTTAATTCCATATACTACGAAGTTAAATCCGGACAAATAGAACATTGTTTTAAAATGTAATTTATTGACACAAATACGAACGTAAAAGAAAGTGTTTTCAGTAAATATTCGTGTAACCTGTTAGGAGTACAATTACTCAATGTAACCGCCATTGACCTCCATTACCGCCTCCATCCTTGTCCTGAAGCGCTCGCACGCTCTCTGTAACGCAGTGCTGTCCCTAATGACGAATGCTGCTTCGATAGCGGCGCGTAAGGACGGCCATTAGGGTACCGCGACTTGTTGGTAACCCATTCAACAACGCTCCGAACACAGTAGTCGAGGGGGATTTAAATCCAGGCTATTCGGAGGCCAAAACTCTTTGGACCAGAAAATGTCCGCATTGTCTGATAGCCAGTTTTGGACTAAATGGCTCGTGTTAACCCACCGGCTCACTCGAGCTGTTGAAATAAATATTCCCTCCTCATCATCACAAACAGTCGACCTCAGGTACCCGAAGAATCGAATGATCTCGGTCGCCGAACGCCCAGCGAAGGCTTTCTGTAATCGCGGCTCTTCGATTGTACTCTGCACTTGTACATAGCATCTCGGCCATTTTAGGGTTACGACTGTTTACTAGATACGTCTGGCTTTCAAGGACGACAATCGCGACCTGTAGCGAAGCTTCGATATGGCTGGAAATTCAAATTGAAATTTGTCTGCCTGAAAACTGCAGCACATGTATGTATGTATGTATGTATGTATGTGTGTGTGTGTATATATATATATATATATATATATATATATATATATATATATATATATATATATATACACAATATTAGTGCACTCCCACTTAGTCATAAATTTGTATGTTTATCTCAATTACAGTACCATTTAGTTATTCGGAAACCTGGCGCCCCTTCCTAGCTGATGAGAGATCGAAATGAAAGCTGGTATAATTTTCCCGGCATTCCTTCAATTGCTCTTTCGAAACACATCGACAACAATATCCCTGAGCAAATATTAGCTGTCCTAATGACAATGTGCGAAGTAATATATTCGAATATTTCAAATACACACCGTTAAGAAACTAATACATGACATTCCTAACAACGGGAATATGAGTAAATACGAACAATCAATGGTGTATTAATGGTCGCCACCAGAACTAAATTACGAGGTGGGATTCGATATATTACCGGAGATCTTTACAGTTGAACTTTACATAGAACGTGG